TAAATGGTCACAACTACAGACCATACTCATAAGTGAAATAAACCAGACCTCCATGTGTAAGCAATGTATTGTCTCACTACTGTAAGAATCTGAAAGAGTGAATAAAAATTAGGAGGTATGACAGACATTGTGAAATGAAAGGAAAATGTTCAAAAGTAAAGAGCAACTGGGGTGAGAGAAAAGAGAAAAGAAAGGGGAAATTATGTATGTATTTATATACAGGATAGCTAACATAGTTGTACTACTAACTTCTATCGCTTTACTGAAAGGAACAGTTAATGATTAATTATTTGATCAATCTTGCATGTCTCTATTTGTTTTCCTGAGACACCACTTTGAAGATATCAGTATGTAAAACAACAACCATTGCTAATTTCCTACCCCTTTGTAACACTGTATTGCTTGTATTGTTCTTTTTTTTTTTGGTACCAGGAATCGACCTCAGGACCTTGTGTTTGCCAGGCAGGCGCTTATGCCACTGAGCTAAATCCCCAGCCTCGCTTGTATTATTCTCATGATATTTTGTAAATGGATGTTTGTTTGTTAATATGTTTTCATTCCTTCAGTTTTAAAATAAATTTAAAAAAAAAAAAAATGCATGGCACTAGGGCCAGGAATATAGCCCAGCAGTACAAGCACCTGCCTGGCACGTGCAAGGTCCTAAGTTTGATTCCCGGTACAAAAAAAAAAAAAAAAAAGAAAAAGAATTGATGGCACTAAATTATTCCACTGATTGTGTTAGCGTAGTTCCATCTGTCAATAATGGTAGGCTAACCATGGGTGTGGGCAGCACCACCCAAAAGGCTTTTGGGTGAGATAGAAGGGAAGATGCAAGGCAGGCTGCTGCTGTTTGCTTCTGCTTTCTGCCTGTCCTGCCAAGGACTGTTTCTCCTCTTCAATGCCCCTGCGCCACGCCACTCTGCCTTGGAGTCAGCCACCTATGGAGTGAAACAAACTGCGACCTTTGAAATAAACCTTTTCATCTTTAACTTGTGAGTGTCAGGTATTTTCTCCCAGTAATGATGAAAGCAACTAAGACACCGATGCTGCCTTTTACCTTTCATCCTGGTTTAAATTCTCGAAATTACTTATAAGCTGTCCTTTCAACTAATCTTTACTTTGGCATAGTATAAAGTCCGGCAAAACTGGGAAGCCTTCCACAAGAAAGAATAACACAATTGTGTGAAGTTACACAGAGGTAACACACATCAAAAGTCTAGCCTACTATTCCTCTGAAACTTAGTTATTCACTCAAGAATATATATAGACAATAGCACCTAACATAAGTTTATATTCAATAAATGCACAGTGCTCTGTATTTAATAAGTATGTTCAAGAAAGAAATTATACATCATTCGCCAAATCCCTTGGATTCCTCCTTGACAACTTCCCAGGTTTCTCTCTTCTCTATCAGTTTCACTGTTATCTATCACTGTTGCCACCTCACATTTTTTACTGTAGCAGTCATAAAATAAATCTCGGCTTCTTCAATCATTTCCTTTCAGTCAACCTCATATCCTATCAACAAACTGAACTAATGACCGCCAACAATAAACCCATCTAGTTATATTTACAAATTCTGGAAAGACACTCCCACATATATGCACCAGCAGAAATATGTAAGAAATGTTCCTAAATATGTAAGAAAGCAAAAACTGGAAATAAAAATGTTCACTGACAAGAGGAAAAAAATGTAACTGTGAACATCAGTAAGAATGAGTTAAACTTCTAAGCATCAAAATAGATAAATCTCAGTAACATATGGTGAAAATAAATTGCCTGTGAAACATACAGCATGATTTGTTATACTAAAACTAAATAAAAATCAATTGTCAATATATATGTGATTAAAGAATACTGAAAAGCAATGAAATAATTCATTCAACTCTAAGAATAATGCTCTCCCTGAGGTATGAGGAAGTGGATGAGATCAAACAAGAGTATGAGACACTGCAATGGGTAAGATTCTACCTTTTGCTGAATTTAGAAGTATTCACTTTGTGGTCATTTTTACTCCTCATCCACATGTTAGCCAGGCGTGGTGCGGCATGTCTGTAATCCCAGCACTCAGGAGGCTAAGGCAGGAGGATGACTGCAATTTCGAGACCAGCCTGTGCTACAAAGTCAGCTCAAGGCCAGCCTGAACTTCATAGTGAAACCCTGTCTTAAAAAGACTAAAAAACCAAAAAAACCCTCATCCATATGTTACAAATATCCCTTTATAGACATTAACATATACTGAAAAAAAATTAAAAGTGAAATCACACAAAGCAAATCTAAGTTTTGCCTGACCCTATACTGACAACCTTGAAGGAATAAGAGTGTTTTGCTATGGTAGGTGAGCTTGAAGACAGATCAGAGGAACCTCCATTACTGACCCACAAGTTTTCAGAGAATACCTTTACCTGTTCTGATGAATCACAAATAAGTTAAACCAAGAGCTCTCGTCTTCCTTTGGTCTCAACATTGTTACTTTTTTATTGACAAACATTCGATAGAGCCTTTCATCTGGAATGGACCCTGAAGTAGACAGTACATTATTTTAAAATTATTTTCTTACTTTGGCTAAAAAATTTTCACTTCTAAATTATGTGTTTCTCAAAATATCTTACTTTATTGTTTAAAAATATATTGAATTCTAGAATCATTTATAGGTAATGACATTTATAAATCTATGTTCCAAGTTCTAACACAATAGAAGTGAGTTGCACTGAAAGAACATTTTCCATTTCAGGCATATCTACCTTTAATTTCAGGAACATGTGGAATAAAAAGTACATTTCCTATGATTAGATTTTTATGAAAACTTCTACTAATTTTGTTTTTCACTATCTCTTTACTAAACACTACAAGTTCATATACTTCTGAGCCTTTAAGATAAAGAGTTACAACATGCACAGATACACATATTAAAAGAGGTGACAAATGCATATTAAAGAACATTATTATTACATATTGTTTTCAGATAAAAACATTTTGCATTTCAATAATTCCTTTACTCTCAAATACTTCTTCCCATATCCATCAGTTTGCCTTGACCTAGTGGAAACAAAAACAAATGAACTAAAGTAAGATACAAATTCTAAACATTTTAAAAGGAGAAAAGGCCAGGATTGCACAGTGAGGAAAACAGTGCAGAGTTGGAGATGGTACAGGTGATGTTGCTACTTTCTAAACTGCTACAGACCCTAGAAAGAAAGCCAACAATGCTGGATGTGGGCTAAGTGGCTGAGGCGGAATGCAGATCATGTAACTGGAAACACAAGGAAAGGCATAAATGCCTGGGGCACTAAGGGCTGACCTGCTTAGGTGCTGAAGTAACAAGACCACTAAAATTTAGAAGGCAAGTGTGGGAGGTGGGGTAAGTCTGAGGGAAATGGGAAGGCAGTTTATGCAGATGGCATAAGCTTTGAATAGGAGGCTGCGTGGTGGCATGAAAGAAGAGTGGTGGGGAAGAAGGAGAACAGCGACCCCCCTTCTTGCCCCAAAGCCCGTCGGTAAGAGAACCGTAGGGACAGGGGAATCTCAGAAGGCCAGGTGGGCTCATTATCCTGAAGAAAGGAAAGAATTTATTGATTACAAAGAGTTCTAGAATGCAAAGCATTTATGGTGAAGGATAGGTGTTTGGGAGGAAGACCGACTCCAATTAAGGAAGGCAGATCAGGATGAGAGGAGACTGAGAAAATGGATAAAAGATGCATAGTGTCTGGCGAGAGCTGAGGCATGTAACGGGATCTGGCCTTAACCTGAACCAAACAGGAGAAACCATTTTCTGGAGAGATGACCTCTAATACTGCAATGATTAAAACTACTAATGGCTTTTTTAAAAAAAGTGTTCTTGCTCTATCACTTGCAGAGTCAGACAAAAAGGCACAATAAATGGACTTGAAATACACTCTCTCTAAACCATGTGAAACTAAGGGGGAATGTGGCATGGAGACAGCATGTATAAATCTGCCAAAATTAAGCCCAATAATCTGTATCAATATGCACTAATCAATATGCACTAATAAAAATGTATATACAGTATATATACACATATATACATCACTTCTAGCCTCAAAAACTTCAGATATAAAATATACAAAATAATGAATGCACTTTAAAAAAAAGGTCTTTAGTCTTTCATTCACACAGAATAAAGCCCAGTAAATAAGCTTTTACCTACTGAACAGTAAACAAACTCAAGTTAGTGAGGCTGATACAGTGAATTTCTGAGCATTAGGGAGGAACAGCTCTGGACTAGCACTGTCCAACAGATGTATAATGTGAGCTACTAATGCATGCTGAATATGTTATTTTAAGTGCCACATTAACACAAGTAAAGACAAATTCCATTAACTTATTTAATCTAAAATATTAATAATATGTTTTACATCTTTCCCTTAGTTCTCGAAACCTAGCGTGAACCTTACAGGCAGGGCACACTAACTCAGACTAGCCACACTTCAAGTGCTCTGTACTTACACGAGGCCAGTGGTTACTGCCCTGCACAGCAACACGTTAGACCTCTGAAAGACTTACAAGATACCAGAATGTAGTTTTAATGAGGAGACAGTCTAACGTTAAATTTTATAGAATTATCCTACAAATCTTTTTAAAAGAGTTATTCTCTAATTCTAAATTTCTTTCCCCCGGTACCGGAAATCGAACTCAGGACTTTGCGCTTGCCATGCAGGTGCTTGTGCCACTGAGCTATATCCCCGGCCCTTATTCTCTAATTCTAATACTTAAGATTCTATATCCGAGCCTAAAAGAAAAAGCCTAAAACAATAAATAGATACTAAGGGGAAAAATTTTTTTCAACAAAACTACTAAAAACAAGTATGTATTAACATTTATTGATCCTTATAAATACCAAAAAAATTTTACCAAATATTCCATCATGTTTTACAATCACTAATGAGAAATAATCCAATTTGTCCCACTTTTTTCCAAAGGACTACAAAGTTGTCTCCAAAATTTCATTTCTCAATAACTGTTCAAATAATTCTTAATTGACATATATAGAGAAATAAAACCATCTTACCTAAACCATAGAGAGCAATTTTTGTGCTTCCTTTTTGAAGCAAAATTGGACTAATATCTATCTTTTCAACAGACATTGACCGTCCAAAGTGATTTATAAATCCAGCACAACTTAAAATATCCAGGGCACAGAGTGAATCTGCCTATACAAAATATTATCAAAGAATATTAATGTGTATATAAAAATGATCTATATGAATATCATATTACCTATTATAAGCATAACCCATGTACTACAGATTGAGTATTCCTTATTCAAAATGCTTCAGACTAGAAGTATTTCAGACTTTGGAATTTTTCAGGTTTTACAGTTCAGCATTCCAAATCTAAACATTCAACTCAAAACTTTTTGACCAGCGATTTTCAGACTTTGGAGCTTATTTCTGGGTTAGGGATGTTCAACTCACAATTACAAAAATTTACACTAGGAAAGTATTTTCTCAAAACAAAATTCTAATAGTATCAGTATTTGCTAATTTTTTTATTACAAATTAGCTACATTGACAACAATCACATGTTAAATGTGAAGTTCATATGACATCACAACTATCATGATATCCTGGTCACTAAAATATAAAAATTAGCTGTGAAATACACGCTATATAATATATTAATAGACCTCTTAAAAACTAGGGAAAAAGAACTTCACATAATTAATGACTTATATTTGACCAGATAAAATAAAAATACTCTGAGTTTAGGACCTCCAATCTTACATCCTCATCAGAGGCAATAAAATAATCTAATGTAGATTTAAAGTTGCTCATAAAACAATCATTTCCTGTAATGAGATCACAAGCGCTATCAAAATACTGGTAACTATAGAGTACTATGAAAATGTTACTCCTGATTACACACTGTTAAACTCAGCTCTAATGATATAAAACAGTGATAGTCAACCTTTTAGAACCTTGCAATGAAAGCCACACACACACACACACACACACACACACACACACACACACACAAAAAGAGCCTTGCAATGATATGAACAGCCCACTGTGGTTCATGTGCCACACTTATACCAGCACTGATGTAAAAGCACAGCTCACTTAGCAATTCTTATTTTAGAGATTTTTAAAACCCAACAAGCAGCATACTTATATTAATGATAAAAGTGATTCTGACTTCTTGACTCAATTTGACTACAAACTTCTGGGACAATTGGTGGTCTCCACAGATAAACTAAACTGGTCATTTCTAAACTTTAAACTACAACAAAACACTAATTACCCCAGTGGGATCATCATGATTGCCATGAACACTAAACACTGGAATTGAAATGTTGAGATTGCCATCTTGGTAGTTCACCCATGGAAACCTTTAAAGGAAAAGAGGAAAGTTCACGTTTCTAGGAAGGATGAAAGCTCTTTCCCAGAGTCTCCTCAGATACAGTAACACAATTAATCAAACGGTGTGACCCAAATTAGCAGATAACCACTGGTTTAGAGCTTTAGAACATAAAGCAGGCAACAATTCATTTTGACTAAAGTCTGAAAATATTTTGAAGTACTACACTGTAGAAAATACAAAAGCAATAAATGGTGCTTGGCATGGTCATTAGTGGGAAAACTTCCAAAATTTTAAAAGCCTTTGTGTAGGTATTATTTGAGATAATCTTGCTACACAGTTCATGCTGCCCTTGAACTCACTATGTCACTGAGGCTGGCCTCAAACTCATAGTGATCCTCCTGCCCCAACCTCCCAAGGGGTGCCCCATCATGCCTGGCACCGAAGCCTTTTACAGGTTATTTGTAGGGGGGAGAAGTGAGAAAACATACACAGTATACCCTGGAACTTAAAAGATCTAGAATAACAGTTCTGATTCTATCACCTCCTAGATGTGCATTTAGTCTCCTGACCACTCCTACTCCCAGTTTTCCAGCTCTTCTCAGGGCAAATGTTAGCAATTTCTTTTTTATTTGTTGCTCTTACTTTTTAGTAGTACATGTTGGCAGTACATAATGATTACATTCCTTGTAGGAAATTGGTACATATACACATCTTAATTCTTTTTTCTTGCCTCCCTTCCCTCTCCTTTTCCTCCATCTCTTGATCCCCTTTCCATTTGGGAGATCTATCTCTCTACTTCTATTATCTATCTCTTATTTTGCTCTTTATAGTGGTACCTTGGTTCACAAACAATTCTTTCTACGATTCTGGTCACAAACCGAACTGGACGTGAATCAAATCAAATACAATGGTTAGGTTCAATATTGATCTTATGGGGAAATTTGATTTGGTGCTTGTCCAATTTGGTTCGTGACCAGAATCGTAGAAAGAATTAACAAGGTACTAATGTATTTATATTTTGGGATTCTTACATAAGAGAAAACAATAATACTTAAGCTTCCTTGTCTGATTTATTTCACTTAACATTATGATCTCAAGATACATCCCTTTTTCTACAAATGTTTATCCTTTTTCTACAAATGTTTATCCTTCTTTATAATACAGTAGTACTCCACTGTATGTAAATATCACATTTTATCCATCCATCTGTTGATGGACACACAGGCCACTTCCAAGGTTTAGCTATTATGAATTGTGCTGCACATGTATTACTGTAATATGGTGTCTTTAACTCTTCGGGGAAGATATCTAGAAGGGCAATAGCTGGGTGAAATGAAACTTTTACTTTTAGTTTTTTGAAGAATTGCCATACTGATTTCCACAGTGGCTGTCTAGTTTACATTCCCACCAACAGTACTGAAGTATTCTTTACCCCATAGCCTTGCCAGCATTTGTTATTATTTGCTTTTTTGACGATGGCCTTTCTTTCTAGGGTAAGACAGAATCTTACTGTGGTTTTAATTTGAACTTCTCTAATGGCCAGAGATATTGCACATTTCATGTATTTACTGGCCATTTGTACTTTCTCTGAGAAGTGCCTATACATTCCACTTGCCCAATTTTTGATTTAGTCTTTCATTCTGGAGAGTCTACTTTTTTAAACTCTTTATATATTCTAGATATTAGTCCTCTGTCTGAGGAATACCTGGCAAAAAATTTTTCCCATTTTTTCTCTTCACTCTGTTGATTGTTTCTTTTGCTGTGCAGAAGCTTTTTAATTTGATATGATCACATCTGTTGATTCTTGGTACTACTTTCTGTGCAACCAGGGCACTCTTCAGAAAGTCTTTCCGCCTATGACTTCAAGAGTTTCACCTATTTTATCTCCTAGTAGTTCTAATGTTTCTGTTTTAACATTTAGACCTCTGAATCATTTTGATTTTAGTTTAGTACATAGTGAGACACAGGTCTAGAGTCAGTCTTCTGCATGTGGTTAGCCAGTTTTCCCAGCAGTTTTATTAAAAAGGCTACTTTTCCTCTGGTATTTGTTTTTGGCACCTTTGTTAACATTAGCAATTTCTACTGCACTTTTTTTCAAAAATAACCTACTTACATAAGCTCATAAATATATTTTCTTCTTGCATAAATGTTAGCACTGTTTAGATTTCTGCCCCCCCCACTACTTTTATCACTTTATTAGTTCAGAAATCATTCCATAGCAGTACTAAATACAAAGAGCTTCCTTTTGCTTTTTACTGGCTGGCACAGCAGTCCACTGAATGGTTTACTGTACTGTGCTTACCCAGTTCCCTAACACTGGACATTTACAAACAATGCCCTTATGAGACGGTATCTGTAGGAAAATATCTAGAAGGGAATTTGGGGTAAAAGGATTTATGCATTTATTTTCATAACTACTGCTAATTTTCTTCCATAGACTGTTCAAATTTACACATAATGACCATGTATCAGAAGGACAGTTTCCCCAACCTCACCAATATGGGCTATTATCAGGCTTTAAAATCTATACTAGTGGTTCTCAGCCCTGACTGCATGTTAAGAATTATCTGGTCATCTTTTAAGAAATACCACTTCTTAAGACACATTCAAAGAGATACATCAGTTGGCATGGATACCAGGAACAGTACTTATAGGCTTCTTAGGTAACTTTAAGAAGCACTCAGGACTAAGAATCATTGATCTATGCCAAACCTATAGAAGAAAAATATTTCTGTATGGATTCATTCTATATTTTTTCTTATGAAAGAGATAGAACTTTTAAAACAATTACATTTAAATGTCACTTTATTTCCTTTTCTGCAAATTATGTCCATATTCCTTCCCTATTTTTACTGTCATAGTTTTTTTAACTTCAAAGATTTATTTGTTTACAGAAAATTAGGCATAAAATGGGTAAATTGCAAATGACTAGATGAACTATAACTTTTAACTTTGCCTCACACAATTTTTGCTGTGTAGAAATTTATTTTTATAAAGATGCATCAGTCTTTTCTTTTATGGCTTGTGGGTTTTCTACATCTTAACATCTTTTAAAGCATCTAACAGTTTTTTTAGTGTACTTAATTTTTTGAATAACATTTTTTTCTCAAGATGTGAGATGCTACTTTCATAAAACACTAAATTCCTACACCCATCTGAGGTTATTTCTGTAGTTTCTGTTCTCTTTTACTTGCCTATTAATTCATGAACCACACATTTTTCACAGTAACAGTGTAACATATTCCTCCCCAATCCCAAATTATAGGAAATAAAAGAAAGACCCAACGAAAGACATTCTATAAAATACCCAACTAGTATGGTTCAAAAGTATCAGTGTCAGGAAAGACAAGAAAAGACATGCCAGGAGTGGTGATGTATGTTTGTAATTCCAGCACTCAGGAGGCTGTGGTAGCAGGATCGCTGTTGAGTTTGAAGCCAACCTGGGCTACACAGTAAGTTCAAGACTAACCTAAACTACATAGTGAGACCTCTCAAAAAAAAACAAGACAGAGACACTAACACATGCTAAAGGAGACTGAGGTAACACTTAAATGTAAAATGATAACCTATACAATATTTAAGAAAAACATCATGGTAGTTGCACCACTTGGGGTTCTAGAGGAATATCATAAATTTCAAAAGGACAAATCTTAAAAGAAAAAGTGATATATTTGTCTACATAAAAATCAAATATTTTGGTCAAAAGACTACATAAAGTCAAAAGACAATCCACAGATTGGGAAAATGTTTATTGAGTATATCTTAGTATCTAGAATATATAAGTAACTGATATAAAACAGGAAGAAAAAGATAAAAATATCCCAACAAAAGTTATCAGGAATATAAAAATCTAAAATATTCAGTCCCAATATTTGTACAATGCTATACAAAAAATGCAAACTGCATTTACTATGAAAAGTTTATAGTGAAGGTGAAATGGCTAATTGGTAATATGGTTATCTGTATCACAAAGAAAACATATGTAACTTTATCACTCAAGTAATAAATATACTTACTTACTAAAACCAAAGTTGACTGACTGATCACTGATGATTTCAAACTGTACTGGACGATCACCCATACAATGTTTTCTAAGTAACTCCAGGCAAGTATGTAATGTTTTTCTTGAAGGCTTATTTTCATGGAAAAGATCACCACCTAACAAAATAAAATCTACCTAATGAACAGAAAATGGTGTTAAAATTAACAGATTTTACAGGTTAAAAAAAAATTTAAACTATAGATGTAAGTGATAGAAAAAATTTCATGAAAGACACTATTGTATATGGCAGTTTAAAATCTTATGTTTTACTTATTAAAAGGGATTTCAAATCTAGTAACTAATTTTACTCCAATTTAGGTTTGTAACCCATGTTCAACAAAGCCACCTTTCAATTACTGTAAGTCCTTGAGTCAAGTTTCCCAAGGCAATTAAATTATTTTTTTAAAAGTTTTAAGTCAAACACAAACCTCGCACTTTAACAGAATATAGAGATGTCAATTCAATCCAAGTTATTCATTTAACTATTATAGAATTCCTACACACACCAGTAATAGCAACCTAGAAAACAGATGATGTCCTGCCCCTCATTCAACATTTTGTATCACTCTCATCAAGGGTACCTCCCATAGAATACACAAACAGTAAATTGTTTCAGGGCTATATGATGAAGTGATGCTACAGAATAGAGACCATACTCATAAGTGAAATAAATCAGACCTGCATGTGTAAACAACATATTGTCTCACTAGTGTAAGAACCTGAAAGAGTGAGTAAAATTAGGAGGTATGACAGACATTGTGAAACGAAAGGAAACTGCTCAAAAGTAAAGAGCAACTGGGATGAGGGAAAAGAGAAAAGGAGAAAATTATGTATGTATGTATATACAGGATAGCTAACATAGCTGTACTACTGACTTCTATCACTTCATTGAAGGGAACAGTTAATGATTAATTATTTGACCAATTTTACAGGTCTGTATTTGTTTTCCTGAGCAACCACTTTGAAGAAATCAATATGTAATACAACAACCACTGTTAATTTCCTATCACTTTGTCTGAATTTCAGTATTGCTTGTATTGCTCTTGTGTTATTTTGTAAATGTATGTGTGCTTATTAATATATTCTCATTCTCTTATTTTTAAAATAAATTAAAAAAAAGAATGCTACGAAAGATCTCTTCAGAAAGGTAAAGTTTGAACTAAAAAGTCAACCCTACCAAGAGCAAAGTGCTCCAAACCCAGGAAACCAAACCTGTGAAAGTTCCAGAACAGAACATGCCAGGGTAGGCACAGCCCTGTAAACGAGGCAGAGCTGTAGAAGGTAACTCTCCTGGCAGGAGCCAGATCAAGTTAGCTTTGTAGTATGAATTTTATTCTGTATTCAAGGGAAAGCCATTTGGAATATTTCAGGCAGCACAATGACAGACCTAATTTAGGATTTTAAAAGTTCACTTTGGCTGCTATGCTGAATGGATACAGGGAGAAAGAATGAAGTAGGAAGCACAGGGGCAGGCAACTGCACTTCAGGTAAACTACAAGTTTGCTACTAAGTTTAAAGGTGTGAAGATCTAGGGTAGTGAGGAAGTTCCAGTTATATTCAGGAAGAAGAACTAAAGGCCTTACAGAAAACTGAATAGAAACTGCAAAAGTCAAGATTGATACTTTGCAGTTCACCAGCACTTATTTTTATTTTCCAACTCTTTTCTGGACTCTATACACACCACCCACCCAGACTGAACACTCCAGTCATTGTCATCCCTTTTTTCTCATCCTCACCCTATAATCCAAGTATCCAAATCCCTCCTTTGTAATATCTCCTGCATTCATTTCATTTCCATTCCCAATGCCATTACTTTTTGAAAAACCTCAAAGCAGTCTTCAGTAACAATTCATTCTATACTACCTTGCTACCAGAAGACTGGCTACTAAATTCAGTATGAACTCCTCCAACCAGCATTTGAAGCTTTCCTCAATGCAACTCAAACCCTCACTTTCTAGTCTTTCGGTATGCTTTCTAACACACGACCCCCTTATTCCTTAACACATGACTCCCTCATTCCTGCTTCATCAGAATGTACATTCTCTATTCTCTTCAAGCATCCAAGTCCACTTTTTCTTCAAAGCCCAAGTTTAAAAACTGAAAGCTTTCATTCTAAAATCAGGAACAAGATAAGGATGTCCACTGTCACCACTCCTTTTCAACACAGTTCTGGAAACACTAGCCAGAGCAATGAGACAAGAGAGAAATAAAATGAATAAGCATAGGAAAGGAAGAAGTTAAATTATCATTACCTGCAGATGACATGATACTCTACATAGCAGACTCCAAAAACTCTACCAAGACTCCTAGGGTTAATAACCAAATTCAGTTCCATCGTTGGATACAAAGTCAATACTTAAAAATCAACAGCATTCTTGTATACAAACAACAAACTTATTGAGAGAGAAATTAGGGAAACCACACCCTTCACAACAGCATCCAAAAAAAATGAAATATTTAGAAATCAATCTAACAAAGGAAGTAAAAGATTTATATATTGAAAATTACAATACTTTGAAAAAGGAGATCGAAGAGGTTATCAGAAAATGGAAAGGTGTCCCTTGCTCATGGATAGGAAGAACCAACATAGTGAAAATGGTCATACTTCCAAAATTGTTATAAGATTTAATGCAATCCCAGTCAAAATATCATTAGCATACCTCACAAAACTAGAGAAAACATTCCTAAAATTCATCTGGAACCAGAAGAGATCTAGAATAACACAGCAATCCTGGGCAACAAAGAGAAGTCAGGAGGCATCACTACCCCTGACTTGAAATTATACTACATAGCTACTGTGATAAAATCAACATGGTACTGGCAAAAAAACAGACCCGAGGACCAGCGGAACAGATTGGAAGATGCAGACACAACTAAGAACACACTCAACCACCTTATCTTTTTTTTTTTTCTGGTACCGGGAATCAAACTCACGACCTTGCGCTTGCCAGGCAAGCTGTGCCGCTGAGCTAAATCTCCAGCCCCTCAACCACCTTATCTTTGACATAGGGGCCAAACATGTTCACTGGAAGAGAGATAGCCTCTTTTTTTTTTTGGTTTTTCTCCGGTACCGGGAACCGAACTCACAACCTTGTGCTTGCCAGGCAGGCGCTTTGCCACTGAGCTAAATCCCCAGCCCCCAAAGATAGCCTCTTTAACAAATGGTGCTGGAAAAACTGGCTCTCTACATACAAAACACTAAAAATTAGACCCATGTCTATCACCATGCACTAAAATAATGTCCAAATGAATCAAAGATCTCAATATTAAAACAGAAACACTAAATCTACCAGAAGAGAAAGTAGGTCAAAATCTTGAAGACATAGGGGTAGGCACAGATTTCATGAACAAAACCCAAAATGCAAGGGAAACACTTCAAAGAATCAACAACTGGGATCTCATCCTATTAAAATGCTTTTGTACATCAAAAGAAATCACCAATAGAATGAAAAGAAAACCCACAGAGTGGGAAAACAATTTAGCTAACTGTCCCTCAGACAAAGGACTTATATCTGGAACATATAAAGAATTGAAAAAAATCAGACTCCTCAAATTCAATGACCCAATCCAAAAATGGGCATCTGAGATGAATACACAAATGGCAAATACATGAAAAAATGGTCAACATCATTAGTCATTCTACAGATGCAAATTAAAACAACACTGAGATTTCATCTCACCCCAGTAAGAATGGCTATCACCAAGAAATCAACTAACAACAAACGCTGCAGGGGACATGAGGAAAAAGGAACTCTTCTCCATTGTTGGTGGCAATATAGACTGGTGCAACCACTTTGGAAATGAGTCTAGAGATTTCTCAAAAAACTAGGAATACACGTCCCATTTAACCCAGCTACTCCCCTTCTGGGTATTTTCCCAGAAGAGTTAAAAACATCATACCACAGCAATATAAGTGCACTCATGTTCACAGCAGCACTATTTGTCATAGCAAGATCTTGGAAACAAACTAAATGCCCATCAACTGAGGAATGGGTAAAAAAGATGTGGTATTTTTATTCAACAGAATATTACTTAGCTATAAAGAAAGATAAACTTAAGGCTTTTATAGGTAAATGGATGTAACTAGACACTACACTCATAAGTGAAATAAATCAGACCTACATATGTAAACATCATGTTGTCTCCCTAGTGTAAGAACCTGAAAAAGTAAATAAAACCTGAGAGGTACAGTAGATATGCTACAGGGAAAGAAACTACTCAAAAGGAAAGAACAACTGGGATGAGGGAAAGGAGAAAAGAAAGAAAGAAGGAAAAAAAAATATATCTATATATACACACAAGATAGCTAAGATAATTGTACTACTAATTTCTATGGGTTTATTGAAAGGGAGAGTTAATGTTTAACTGTCTGATCAATCTTGCATACCTGTATCTGGAAATCTGAGCAACTACTTCGAAGATAACACTATGTAATACAACAACCATTGTTAGTTTCCTATCATCTTGTTTTGAAATTCTGTATTGTTTTATTGTTTTTGTGCTGTTTTGTTTTTGTATTGTGTTTTTGTTTTCTTTTTAAAATAAAAAGAAGCCCTCATTTAATGTCACTCTTTCATTAAGCTCATCTTGCAATTCTCATCTAATTGTGATCTCTTCCACTTCTAAAATCCCAGGAAATGCTGCTTATGATTTTCTTGTGGCTCTTGTCACATGATTTTCCATGTGAGTTTTCTAGATATCCGTTCTTTGAAAGCAGAAATTATGACAGTAATATTTTCATTCCAGAGAAAAACTGACCGTGTACTCATTAAGTACTCTGTGAATATTTGTAAATTTTAAGACTATTTATACCAAAGTAGCTCCTACTTGAAATGAGGACACAACATATAAAATCTTCTGTGAGCTTTTAATATATTGATAAACAGGTACTGTGAACACATGAGCCTATAAAAATAAACCAAACTTCAAGGGAAAGAGCTATCGAATAAGGAAATAGAGTAAAAATCACACAAATACAAACCAAACTCACTTCATTTTCCCGGGCAAGTCTTAAAATTTCATCAAGTGTGACAAATGTATCATTTCCTCTCACTGCATCTTTCTCCATAAATCCAAGATGAATATCAGTTGCAACTAAGATTTTAAATGTATTTTCATCATCACTATATCAAAAAAGAAAAACATCTGCTTTAAAGGATATTCAAGCAAAAGAAACCTAAGGACAAAACAAGTAACAGCAGTTATGTGTGGAGTAAAATCATTTTCCTATCCTTAAACGTGGTCTGAAATTTTGAGGTGTTAAACTAATCTTTAAAATCAGTTTCCCTAGCCACTACACTAATTCAATTCAGAACAAATGCACGCAAATTTTAAAGGGTTCCGTAACTGCTTCAGAAATGTATAACCTTATCATAACAAGTTTTATATACCTTCATATAACTCAGACCTTCAAGCTTGCTTGTTCTCCTATTCTGTTCCATCATAAAAACCCAAAAGGCTTTGCTCCTTACTTCCAAACTTAGCTTACCTGATTTTGCACATTTCTAGGAAAATCAAATTTAAAAAGTCTTCCTCTAAGTTTAAAAGTAGACTTTATATTATATGCTAATAACTTACATTCAGACCGCTGAAAATGCCTGACTCCTCTCTACATAGTTGCTTTTTCATTAATAAATTTGGTAAAGTAAAAAAAACAACAACAAACTATTACAATTTAAATGAAATTTGGTAAAGGTACTTTCACAGGAAGCAGCAATACAGTACTTATTAACACTCTTAAACCTAATGTAACTTTTAATATTTGTTTTTTCTGACCCAGGGTCTGGCTATGTAACCCAGACTATTTCTATTGAACCAGAAAAGAGTTCAAAAATTTTTTTTGTATCTATCTCCAAAATCCAAATCTTTATATACAAAAAAATTTAGCAAGATTTTTCTTTAGAAACTTCAAAAATAATATGCACAAAGTTGTGAATGCTATACACAAACTTTTTGGATCAGATTACCACATCCTTCTATAGCAATGTATAAAGTATTTTCACAAAAATTCTCTCATTTAATCCTCAAAATTCACCTGAGAAAGACATTATTAATCCAATTACACAACAGAAGAAACAGACAAGGCCTAGGGAACTGCTGACTTGCCCAAGGTCACAGCAAATTTTTACCAAAGACTTGAAACCACGTGAAAGACTGAAAGTCTAAAGTTTTTCCGTTTAACTTTTATAGTCCTTGTATTTATATCCATTGTATTCAATTTATTTTCAATTCAATCAATAGTAGCACAATTTATTCTAAAAATCTATTTAAGTAGAACTGCGTTAACTAACAGGATTTAATCACAAAAATTTGGGGATATTTACAGCTTCAATATTTTAACACAAAGCCTAAGAAAATAAGCTTACATGCTGTAGCAATATAACAAATTACTGCAAGACTCCAAATTATAGCACTGTATTATCCTTTGGATAATAAGCAAACATACAATAGAGACTTTTAAACATTCCAAATATTCTTTTTGATGACTAACACTTCCTATCCAAAGGTAAACTTACTTACTGCTACTTAAGTTTTGACATGCTCATAGCTGACAGACTTAAAAAGCAGAAGTAACAATGGGTTCCAAAAGTCACAGACTTACAGTGCCTCTGCAGGACTCATTTTTATGGCCAGTGGAGCGCCTTTGAGACCAGGTTTCTCCGCAACTATGCTTGGGTGTTGTGTTCACGTATATCAGAAAAGTCTCTCGATTCCAAATTGTAGCAGATTCTAAAAACAAAGATCATAAAGCACATTTTTTAAAAAAGCTGCACATATTTAACCAACATGAGTTCGGTTGCATAAGATACAGACTTCTTAAATAAGCCAACTTGCAATTTTGGAAAAGTCCTATTTTCGCGTGAGTACTATCCTTTTTTTTCATAAACTAATAGAAAATAACACCTCGAGAGCCACCAGTTTGCCAGTTACGGTTAAACTTAGCTATTTTCTTCTCCCTTACTCGCACTAAAAACGAATGTATATTACATAAATGGACTGAACGGGTCACATGGACTCCAGCTCCGCACACAGCTCGGGAGGCGCGGAAACGTTCGAACAGCGCGCAGAGGGCATCGCGAAGCCTGGAGGCGACCTCGCACTTTCAGGGTCTGAAGGGAAGGGCTTGTTTTTGGAAGAGAAGGGCCCCACACATAAAGCTACAATGAACAGCCGGACACGCGGTCTGCGGAGAAACGGTTCTGAGCGCCAGCAGGACAAGGGCTAGATTCTGCAACCAGCAGCAGCAACCGCGAAACCCCTTCCAAGTGCCAGGCTCCTCCTGGACTCCAGGACTGCAAGCGCCAGCCACGCGACTCCGCGAAGTCTGAACGTGAGCCCTCCAGACTCCGCCCAGGGAAGGGCTTCGGCCCCAGAACCCGCAGAGCTAGGAGGCTAAGATTCCCAAATTACCCCACGCCCGGACTCCCCAAAGCCTCACCTCCGCATCCGGGTCGTCTTCTCCCCCGCAAGAGGGGCGGGATTCGCGAGAAGACTCAGCAGCGTGCCCAGAAAACCAGCAGGGCCGTAAACCCGAATTGGGCGCGGGAAAAATCGTATTTCTCGCGATACCTTATGATGCCGGAAGAGGCCGCAAGTCCTTCTCGATTCTCATTGGCTGCTGAAGAACGTGCGGCTGCAGGGGCAATAGCAGCGAGGCCCCGCCCCAGTTAAGGAGCCAATCCTGAGCAGCCAGGGGATAGACCCGGAAGCGAGATTCGCGGCCGTGGTTTTCTCTCTGGCGGGTGGGTAGCTTGTCTCTCTCCCTCGAGCTTTTCGTGGTAGGCTCCGTCGGATTAAGAACTGGTCGTGTAGAGACGGTCGCCTTTCGCCCCTGATACTAGGTGGGACCGAGGCAGCTTCCTCACCCTTGGTTGTTCGTAAAGGCACGGGCACGATTCCTTGGCCTGTGAGTGACCAGGCTCTGCCCGAGTTGGACTGGCGGCCCTGTCATTCCCACTTCCCGGATCCTTTCTTTCCTGCTTCCCTTTATTGTCGCCTTTGGATCCGTATTAGTGCAATAAAAATAAATGTGGAACATTTTAATTCGAAGATCTAGTCTTTCAGTTCTTTGGTAAAGTTCTTGGTCTGTGACATTGTTTTAATCTGTCCAGACCTCGCCGGGTGTGGTGGCGGACTCCTGTAATCCCAGCACTCGGGAGGCTGAGGCAGGGGGATCGTTGCGAGTTCGAGACTAGCCTGGGCTACAAAGTGAGCTCAAGGCCAGCCTGAACTGCATAGCGAGACCCTGTCTCAAAAAGATTAAAAGAAAAATTATCCAGACCTCAGCACATTTACCTGTAAAATGGGCTTATAGCCCCATCTATCACGGGACTATTTTTGAGGCACTGGCAGTGATCGGATCTCTCTTAAAATGGAAAATGTTCTTTTAAGTTAGAAAACACTACTTCCTGATGGGTTTTCATTAAATAAGAATCTTATTTTATACTCTGAATCAAGAAGATGCCTCTGGGTTTGACTTTTAAGACTAAATACACCAAGAAAATTTTATATGTAATTTATTAAAAAGATACTGCATTGATAAGAGATTGGACAGATACCTTTTTAGGGCAGTGATGGTGAACATTCTAGAGACTGAGTGCACAAACTGCAACCCAAAACCCACTTATTTATTGCAAAGTGCCAACACTGCAGTTAAACCTGAATACTGAGGTTATTGTTTAGAAAAAGCCACTCATACATTAACATCTTTTGTCTTAAAAGAAAAACAGTAATGCACGTGGCATAGGTTTGCCACTGTTGTTTTAGGGGCTATTTCATCTCTAAGAATCCTTTACAGTTGTTTTTTAAGAACTAGAAATGTTTGTTTCTGATCTGTGTTATCTATGTTTATAAAAATCTTTACCTGTATTTGTTGTCTTAGTTATACTTTGAAAACTTCAATCATTCATCATTCTTAACATAATAATACCTAAACAAATATATTGAACTGTTATATTCAAAACAATAGTTACAGCCATTGACTTCGTAAAGGAAAACAACAAAAAATAAGATGTGGTAGACCGTTAAGGATCTACAATAACTAAACTCTGTCCACACTAAGAGTTAGTATATTTAATGGGTGTCATCAGAAAGCCCTCAAAGAGTTTAGATACAGTTTGTTTCTACATCTTTATTAAACTGATCTCTGTGATATTAATACAGTCTCATTTACTGTTTATCTAATTTTCAGTTTGTTTTCAGATCTTGATGAAGAAAATCAAGTTGACATAACTCATCTTGACAAAGATTACACTCAGGATCTGAAATGTTATTTATGCAGAATAGTTGTAAAAATGGAAAAAGAGAAAGTAAATGATGATGGAAAACTAGACCCAGAGAATTCCTCAGACTTTTCTGAACACTTTAACCTACTTGAATTGTTGGAAACACAGTACACCTTATCCCCACTGGCACTCAAAAGCCTCTGGGTAGGCAATTCTAATGAAGACGAGGAGGAGCAATATGGAAAAATGAAGAGTGATATCAATTACAGGAAAAAAATGGAAAAGATCCAAGCAAACTGCTTTTTTGGGCTGTGGAAAAAATTGGCTGAAAATAAAAGAAAGGTGGGAAACCATAATGTAGTAGGAAAAACAATGGGTTTGGAGCTTGCTCCTGAACCAGATCTGTTCTATATGTGTTTTTGGGCAAATTCCACAATTTTGGGGCCTCTGGCTTCCTATCTGCTTAAATGGCTATAATATCTTTTATACAGAATTGTGAGAATCAAAGAAGCAGTGCACATGAAAGTACATACTAGGTTACAAACTATCAGGTATTACTTGAAAATTTTGAGAGTGAGGATCATCCTGCAGATAAGTATAATTTAGGATACACAGGATGGAAATTAACGTTTATTAAATACCAACTAAGAACCTTACTGCATTGTTTTATTTAATCCTCAAGAATAATAATATTAATTTGCATCAAATCATTCAAATAGAATTAACAGCAAAAGTCTACTCTTTCCACTTGGCTACTTTCACTTCATTTTCCCAAGTTTGCCCATATCTGTGTTAATAAACTATGCAAATAGCTAAAAGGGTCTACTTTCTTTTAATAGCATTTTCACCCAGGAGAGGTCCATAGAGCAAACTGAAAATTATTGCTTGGTTGCATGTTTCTAAGGTTATATTCAGAAGCAGTTGAACCCTCTAATCCGTGGATTTCCTTGTCGCCATTTTATTCTTCTGTTAAATTTCAAATACTACATACGTGATCATCCTATAATCGATTATATTTTCTTTGCATATGAAATATTAAATATAATTATGACATTCATATAGCACCAAAACTTTTGTGCAGTAAGCTTCAGCTGGATCAGGAATAAATGTATGGTTTGATATTCAGAGAATAACATACTTAGGAACAACTGAACATAGTTACAACTTGTTCATTACTAAATCAGTTGCCCACCCCACAAAAATTAACATTTTCATTTTAAAATCATCTACTAACAAGTATATGTTTAACTTACATATAATGCTACTAGGAAATGGGGTGGAAAAAACAGGAATTAAGTTGTATTATTTACACGTACCAATTCCCCACAAGGACAATAAACATATACTAGTAAAAAAAATGAATAAACCTGCTGGATAGCTTAAGCTTCTTTATTGTTTTGCTTTGTGATGGGTGTTTATAAGACCTCTTTTTCCTCAGCTTACTACAGTGCAGAGACTATTTTCTGCGAAGGCCACTCATGTGAACACCAGGGATGAAGATGAGTATACGCCCCTTCATTGAGCAGCCTACAGTGGACACTTAGATATCTTCCGGGAGCTGGTCGCACGGGGCAGATGTGCATGCAGTGACTGTGGATGGCTGGACCCTCTGCACAGTGCTTGTAAGAGGAATAATACCAGAGTGGCTTTTTTCTTACTTCATCATGACGCAGCTATCAATGCTCAAACAAAAGGCCTCTTAACCCCTTTGCATCTTGCTACTGGGAACAGACAGCAAAGATAACCTGGATCTCCTCCTGATGAACTGTTACATCAAGCCAAGTCTGAAGAACAACTTGGAATGAACTACATTTGATATTGCCAGGGGGATAAGTATCTATCACTACCTCTTTGAAATCTTGGAAAGCTATACAAATTCTTCACCTCGGTCTTAATGTTTCTCATAATTTTCTGAAGTACCAGTACCTCCTTTGTGTGAGATATAAAATATTGTCATAATACAAAATTGACATCAAATGTCGTACTAGAGAAACTCAGTGATACTCATTATGTTCTTCAAGTGAATTGCCTGACCTTGGTGTCGAAATGTATGTTTTTTGTTTGTTTGAGCTCTTTTGGTACCAGCAGTCAAACTCAGGACCTTTTGCTTGCCAGGCAGGCTATGCCACTGAGCTATATTCCTAGCCCTCAAAATGTATTTGAGAGTTGCTTGGATGTATCTTTAATGATTTTGGTGGAATTTGTGATTTTTACCAGAAGTAATTTTAACTTGACACAGGTAATCAGAAACTACAGATATTTTTGGTTCTGATCCAAGAGAAATGTATTTTAAATATCCCAAATCCAGGATCTTTGTTGAGTATTTAGTACACTGACATGTATTTTTGTAAGATGAGGTAACTCAATTTATTTTAAAAGTCTTAAATACGCTGTGCAGTTCAGCTGTCTTTCTACATTACCATAACTAATTGCTTTCCTTCCAAACCAGAAAAACTAATATGTTAGTTGGTTTTTCTCCGGTACTGGGAACCGAACTCACAACCTTGCGCTTGCCAGGCAGGCGCTTTGCCGCTGAGCTAAATCCCCAGCCCAAAAACTAATATGTTAGTAACTTGAATCTTTATATGTTAAAAAGTAAAAAAAAAAAAACAAAAACAAAAAAACACTTTGATCTTTATTTTTTAAAATGTAGGCCATTTGCAAGAAAGCAGTTATTTAATCTATGAATGTTGGGCTGGGGATGTAGCTCAGCAGTGCAGCACCTGCCTGGCAAGTGCAAGGCCCTGAGTTTGATTCCTGGTACCAACAAAGAAAATAGTAAAAAAAAAAAAAAAAAAAAAAAGAATTTAATATACTGCCTCCCTTACCACAATCATGTGATCCTGTGAATAGCCCTACCACATGCTGGTCAGCCTACATGATCTTTATTCTTACTGTGAGTCAGTATGATCTTTTAGACATATACACAGCTATACCTTGGTCCAGGAGATTTTAACATACTTGCCTCCAACTACTTTTTCTTGCCTGATCTTGCTGGATTGGACACTGCCCAAATAATCTGTTGAGTTCACAGGAAGTGTTGATTTTCCAAGGTCTTTGTGTTATGTAAGTCATTACAAAGGCAAAGTGGCAAGGAGTAAGGAACTCTCAAGAGTGAAGGGATGATTGTTATATAGGGACTAGAACCACCAAGTGGCTCAGCTTTCTCTAAAAATCATAGTGTGAATAGTGACAAAAAGCATAAAAATTAAATATTCCAGAAAAAAGTACAAGTTTTGATAATAAAAAGTCATGAAGCCTTTTCTTAACCTGTGTATGATTTTGCTGGCAAATTTATTCAAACAGCATGCATTTAATAATCTGCT